CAGCCCCTGCGGCCTGGCAGCGCCGGGCGGCTGCAGGGCCCTGTGGGTGCCTCCTGCTCACGCCGTCTCTCCTGTCCCAGCGGGAGGTGGAGATCCTCATGTTCCTCAGCGCCATCGTGATGATGAAGAACCGACGCTCCAGTGAGTTGGGGCCTGTGCGCTGGGGTGGGCGCGGGGGGCTGTGGGGCCGCTCGTGGGGCCTTCCCCAAGGAGCTGGATGGGTTGGGGTCTGGAGGACCAGATCTGGCCCTCCCTCAGGATCCCTCCGGTCTTCTGGGGGGATCTGGCCCCATCTTGTATCCCTCTCGCCCTTCCCCAGTCACCGTGGAGCAGCACATCGGCTGTGCGCTGGGGTGGGCGCGGGGGGCTGTGGGGCCGCTCGTGGGGCCTTCCCCAAGGAGCTGGATGGGTTGGGGTCTGGAGGACCAGATCTGGCCCTCCCTCAGGATCCCTCCGGTCTTCTGGGGGGATCTGGCCCCATCTTGTATCCCTCTCGCCCTTCCCCAGTCACCGTGGAGCAGCACATCGGGAACATCTTCATGTTCAGCAAAGTGGCGAACGCCATCCTCTTCTTCCGCCTCGACATCCGCATGGGCCTGCTCTACCTCACACTCTGCATAGGTGAGACCGGCGGGGGGGACCCCTAGCACCGGGGCAGCAGCAGTGCCCCCCCGGGCACGGCTCTGCCTGTCCTCCGTGCCACCCGGCTGGAAGGGTCGGAGCTCCCTCTCGCCATGGGGCTGACCTGCGGCCTTCGCTGCCGGAGGAGGCTGCAGGCGTAAGGAGTCTGCGTGGGCTGAGGGGGCAGCGGTGGGCGAGGGGGGCTCAGGAAGCGCCTTGAGGGGCAGCCTGCCTGCCCCAGCGCTCTGCCTCCGTCCCCCCGGGCTGCTCCGGGGAAGGAGGAGCCTCGTCCCAAACCCAGCCTGGGCCTCCCGGGGGCGGGGGGCTCAGGGGCGCTGTCGTTGCAGTCTTCCTGATGACCTGCAAGCCCCCCCTCTACATGGGCCCCGAGTACATCAAGTACTTCAGCGACAAGACCATAGATGTGAGTATCCTCCCTGGGGGGCTCCGGGGGGCTCTGTCTGCCGCCCCCTGCTGAGCCCCGCGCCCCTGCGGCAGGAGGAGCTGGAGCGGGACAAGCGGGTGACCTGGATCGTCGAGTTCTTCGCCAACTGGTCCAGCGAGTGCCAGTCCTTCGCCCCCATCTTCGCCGACCTCTCTCTCAAGTGAGTGGCATGTGCCGGGGGCCTCGGCGATGTGCGGGGCCAGGGCCAGGGGTTGCTCATGGCCGTGTGTCCCCGTCCTCCCCAGGTACAACTGCTCGGGGCTGCACTTCGGGAAGGTGGACGTTGGCCGGTACACGGATGTCAGCACCAGGTCTGGGGGGAGACGGCCGGGGCAGTGGGGCCTGGGCCGCGGCAGAGTCCCCAGAGCCCCCCGCGCTCACTGTCGGCCTCTCCCCCTCCGGCCACAGGTACAAGGTCAGCACCTCACCCCTCACCAAGCAGCTGCCCACCCTCATCCTCTTCCAGGGCGGGACGGAGACCATGCGCCGGCCGCAGATCGACAAGAAGGGCCGGGCCGTGTCCTGGACCTTCTCCGAGGTGGGTGGGACCCCGCTGCCCCCGGCGTAGGATGGGACCCGCAGCCGCCCTGTGCCCTGGGGAGGGGGCAGCGGGGTCCGGGGGTGCCGACGCTGCTTCTGGGCCGCAGGAGAACGTGATCCGGGAGTTCAACCTCAACGAGCTCTACCAGAGGGCCAAGAAGCAGGCGAAGCCGCGGGAGGAGGGGCCTGAGGAGCCCCCCGCGCACCCCGACGGGGAGCTCAAGAAGGAGAAGTAGCGGCTGCCCTCTGCTCCCGCCGCCCCCG